TAAAATTTGTCAGAGTATATGTAAATATAGGATAATTCATGGAAACGCGTAAATGCCTCGTAACCGCGTAAACCTCGTAAATAAACCGATTTTCCATACAAAATGAAGTAAGTTTACGAGGCATTTACGCGTTTCCATGAATTGTCCTATTGTGTTATAGCAAGTGATTTATTGGAAGCTGGTTTTTATTAAACATCTGGTTCTTGGTTTTGCAAAAATTCGTAAACAATTCTTTCTCCCATTCTTGTACCCTCTGCAGAGTCTATTAATAGACCTTCAGATTCTGGCGGTTCTGAATCTGAAAGGTGATTTTCTTCTCCGAAAGATGGCTCAAAATCGTCCTGGAGTATGCAAATATTATGCAGTATAAATGCAGCAAATGCAGTTTTTATACAGTTTTCAATTTTTAGCTCCAGCTCTCTATTAAAAATATTTCTCCACCGATTTTTTAAAATTCCAAATGCAGATTCTACAATTATACGTCCTTTACTATGAGCAGTGTTAAATCTAGCCTGATTTGCCGTTAAGGGCTCTTTAATTGGTGTGATTACTACCACCGGATATAGTTGACACGGGTAGCCTTTATCACCAAATAAAAGCCAACCTTGAGGCGGATAGTCCTTCTTAGCGTACAAAGGACTGTTGACAAATACCCTTGTATCATGAACGGAGCCTGGATAACCAATGAACACGTCTGTAAATCTATATTCACTATATACAACTGCTTGAGCCTGAATAGAATACAATTTTTTGTGATTTATATATTCATCATGTTTATTTATGGGGCATTTTATCCGAATATGCGTTCCGTCAATAGCGCCAATAAAATTTGTAAAAGCAGTAGACTTAGTTTTTTGGCAAAATTTAGCAGCGATTCTCTCGTGGTCTTCCGAAGTGCCATGGTTTATTAAGTGGCGCATTGAAATTACTTTATCCAACATTTTTTTAATAATGCTGCAAGCTGTGTAGCGACTCAAACCCAAAAACTCGGCTACCACCCTATAGCTGCATCCGCATGCATTCCAATATAAAAAGCACATCACTTCGTAATCCACAGACTATCCGTGATGTTTTTTTAGGAATATGCACCACAATTTTTCTGAACGAACTAGCCGACAACCTGAGATGCATTTTTGTTATTTTGTTATCCCCATTCATTATGGCATTCATGGTTTTGGAATAAACTGCAGGTTGCATATATAAAATAGCCTTAAAAATAAAAAGTGAGGACATAGAAAAAGGCACCAATGCAAGCACTTTTACCTGGCGTTGTCTTTTCTTTTTTAATGCCAAAATTAAAACGTCCATTAATTGCAGTGACCTGATTTCAAAAAGAATTGCAATCAATAATGATAAATATTTTCTTAAAATATTCATTTTCCTTTGATTTATAATAGTTTATTCGGCGCCAATTTTCAGCGGTTGTCAAAATTTTACTGCTGTGATAAAAGATTTCATTTCACACAGCAAATTGGTAAAATTGTCTCACCATAGTAAAAATACAATTCACCAGCTTTCCCCATAGCACTTTGCTACCGATTCACACACGCTCTGACTGTCAAGAATTATGGGTTTGTTGTACATTTGTTCATGTTTGTCATTAGTTGCGTTCCAGATAACTTCGTGTAAAAACCTGTAAAACTGTCAAATAACAATATTACTCTCTTGAAAAAGAGAAGCAAGAGAGAAAAAATAAAAGTCACCTGGAACGCGAAAAACCACTTTTCCTGTAACTACTTCCTTTTCTTTAATGTTAAGCGCCATGGAAACGATCAAATATCTTTATCAACCGTCTCGCGTTTTGCTTGACAAAAAACAAGCGCACTTGCCTTCTGATCGTCGTGGTGAGCAAGTGCGCGGACAAGAAAAAGAAATTGTTTGTTGAATTAACGCGTTTATTTGAACGTTTGCGGGCGAGACACGAGCCAATCGCACACATATGTATGTAATGCTTGACGTATTTATTTCATTATCTCCGTGGCGCTTAATGTTCTTTGCTATCTGTTTTTGTTTACAAATGCCACCCTGCCTATCGTTTGACACTTTTCATGAACTTGCAGGAAGAAAAACTTCGGACTAAAACGTGCAACTTCTGACTGATTAAGAGAGCAAGTTACTCTCACAAAAGTGGTTTGACTTGCAGGTTTTTTGACACCCGGAACGCTTTCCTGCAAAAAAAAAACTGCAAATCGTGAATATCGTGAATATCGTGAGCATCTGGAATGCAACTATTGTGCGCGTAATTTTCTAGAGTAGTTTTATGATCTCGTCATCTCCTTGTATTAACTTGTCCTTCGTTGGTATACTCTGATGAACATATGTGAGGATGATAGCAAGGCCAACTTATATAAGGTAGTGTTACAGGAGCAGTTGAAATTTTCGCCCGATGTTTCTTAAAGAAGGCCATAAACGTAACGACCATATATCGGAAAATTAGTAAGATGAAATGAAATTATTGTTTGATTCCTAACCAAACCTATGTATGTAACTCAATCGCCTTATTGTTTGCCGAACCGTAAACATATGTTCACAAATCCAATTTCGTGAGTAGGTACCTGGTACTCACACCTTTTTTAAGAAGTTTCACTCATGTGTACGGTGTTACACACGCTTTTTTTGTATGGATACAATTGCAGGATATTTGCAATTTACCGTTATTGAGCTTAAAAGAAGGGTGGTTCCACTTAATCAGGTATATCTTACGAGCAAATGAAAGCGAATAAAATTCTTCATAAACCGTATATACATCACTTTTGGATAGCCCTGACAGTTTCTGAGAAATTAATTAATCATTCCAGATTTTTTTTATGGAAAAAGGCAAATTATTCAAACTTTGCACTTGTGTTAAAGCCTGTTCCTTTAGAAAAAAATTAGGTTACCAATGAAGCGAATCGATGGATAAATAAGAAAATAATGATTGGTCAAATGAAAATGCGCAAGGATTTTTTTATGAAATATGAGCAGAAAAGAGTGTTACTCATACGCCACGTACACCTGAGTAGGTAGAGTGTTTGCAACAAAAACAAGAGCTGTCAGAAATTATTAATTAATTGCTCCGAACTATCAGGGCTATCGTAAATATGATATATATAAGACATCTTTTTTCATATCGGACACCAAATTTGGTGTCACACTTTCGATTGGCTTGAATTTTTTTAATGGGTTCGATACATGTTCGAGGAATTTTTTTTAGTTCTTTTTTCTTCGGAGATATGATCTGTCAAAGTTTGCATTTTTTCGTGATTCTGACTAATCATGTACTACTTCAAATCGTTATGTGTATCTCGGGTTCTGCGCTTCGTAGAGACTTTATCTTATCGTCGTTTTAAAGCTAAAGAAACGGGCTTAACATTTCTATATATAAGGTTGTC